GAATTTGAACAATTGTAGTATCAGACTGCAACATAACAAAATTGAAAAAAGTGAAGGAGGTCTGAATACTTTCCAAATGCACTGTATATTCAACTACTCACTACTAGGAGATCTCAAACTGTCTGCTTATGTTTGATCTTCCATTGATCTAGGACTGATTTTCCCACCTTTTTCCACTGCAGTCCCTCAAAAGTCTTAACTTGCTGAATAAGATCTGTAGTGCTGCAGTGAAATGAAGAAATTGGAAAGTTATCATTATACAATTAGAGTCAGTATGTATTAGATATTAAAACCCCAATGAGCCAGAAAAAAACAGTTGCTACAAACTCAGGTGTACTACAGACAGATGGAAAATTAATAAAAGTAACTGGATTTTCTGTTTTGCCCCCTTTTAAAATGCTGTCTGAATATATTCAAATGAACAACAAATGATTCTCCTGAATCTGGATGGCTCCCACCCTACTGGTGTTTTGAAGAGTGTTGAAGACCTAGTTCCTCTCCTAGGCCTTTAGCGAGGGTGAATGCAGTCCCCCTGGATTATTTTTTCTGTTCTAGTCCAGTTCTGTCATCTTGCTATCTTCTATTTATTTTTGATTTATTTTTATGTTTTTTTACTTGTGAGCCAGCCAGAGCTGTTGGGAGTCAGGCGGCATACAAATTTAATAATAATAACAATCACCAACAAGTCTTATTACTCTGTTCTAAAAATCTTCACCCATCTTTAGTCCAAAAAAAATGCAATATTACTTGCCACTGCTTAACTTACCCATTTCAGCAGTTGCTTCTCTTTCAAGCGAGTAACTTTCATTCTTTCTCAATTTTTATTATATGGAAATAGGAAACCTTTTCGACAGAAGGCAGATCAATTTAAGTTTATAAATCCACTGATGTATATTACTGCTCTTTCTCAATATTCAGTAAAAGACTTAAGTTGAAACAGTTACTTAATCCAACAGGTTGCAACTGGATGAATAGAATTTGTTTCTTTGATTATTGTCTTATTTATATATGCAAAGCAAATATAAGGTTTGGATCAAAGTCATTATTTTTTAACTGTTTGCCATGAGCAACGCTTGTCTTCAATAATTTAGGTGTTTTTTTTTCTTTTTTGGTTGAACAGAATATTTGAACAAGAAGTTGTTCAAAATTATACAGCAATATTTCTCTAATAAGAAAAATGCTTACAAGGACTGTGCAATGATCCAGACTCTAAGGGTTACAGAGTGCTGTGGGGGCGCATGTATACAGTGGTACCTCGGGATACGAACGCCTCTGCTTGCGAATTTTTCGGGTTACGACCAGCTCTGGCCCCAAAATTTTACCTCGGTTTGCGAACTCCGCCCCGGGTTACGAGCCATTTTCCGCCCGTGCCACGTGGTCCGCAGCCATTTTCTGCCCGTGCAACGTGGTCCGCGGCCATTTTTCCGCCCTTGCCACGTGGTCCGCAGCCAT